CCTATATTTATTTCGATAAATACGGAGTGAAACTCCTGATCGGAGTTCGCCTTTCACAAGTCCGATAGGAACTGACGACAATAATCCAAAAGGTGGTGCACTATATTATGAGCCAATGGTGGCTCATAATGTCATCAATGCGTCAATTGGAGAAATCGCGGGAATGAGCTGAAATAAAGTTCCGCAAGCTGTGGATGCCTTTGAATGGCATGCTGTTAATGTAGCTTAATGCTACAGCGAACCGGAAGCGCATAAACAGATTCACATGAACAGTGAATCTGTTTACAACAGAAAAACAATCTTTATGCACAAGGAATGTGATGTATTCGTCAAGAATTTGTGCCCTTTTGAAGGGGATTAGCACTTCGTAGGGCCGTCAGTTCTGAAGGTCCTGAAACAGTTCCATGTAATTGAAGGCTACACACTGTGCAAAAAATACCAGCAGTGATGTTACGACTTTGATAGCGTCCTCTGGTTGTAACTGAATGGTGTTTTGCAGGTTGGCGAATCGTCGACATAGTATGCCGAAAGTAGATTGTACTATCCGCCGAGAACTAAACAGAGTGTGCTCAGTCCCAGGTAGTACTGAAGCGAGTGAAGTGACTCTTACCCGCTATGTTTCGCGTCAAATCTGCGCTTACTGGCCGTTTCCGCAGCTGCCTGGGAGTACGGTCGAACATAGCTGTACCCCTGGCCAAAACCAGAGTCCACTAGGATGTGGTATTGCACCGCTCCAACTGCTCCTAACTCCCGCGTAGGTGGGAAAATGTCGTCCTCCTTTCGAAGAAACGCTGAATATGTGCATTGTAGGCTGGGTATTCGGCGGTTCTTCATATATACCTTGATGTTGGGGTTCCTGATATGGCATCTCACACTCGCCCTGGCGCACCCAGGTCAAATGCAAGAATGCGGTAGTCGCAGTCGACCAATGCTAGCAGGATTATAGAGAACCACCTCTTATAGTTGAAATACGCACTTCCTGAATGGGCAGGCTTCTGAAATAGGTATCATTACTGTCTTCGATCGGTGCAGTATATCCCATCTCACCCTAATTTTTATGCGTTTCCCATCCAAGAAGCCTACAGCACGTGGATAGTCGTATCTCTCCTGCGTTTTTCGTGCCACCTCCTCCAGATCCGTCCGTGTGATCGGAGGGAATGCCTCTTCGAAGAGCACTGATATAATAATCGTTAAGCTCACGCTAACTCTGCCAAAATATCATCCTCACCATTCGTAATTGCACCCGCCACTTCGTACACTATCTTGCTTACTGTGGATTTACCACAGTGCACCTCCTCCGCTAATGCCCCGAAGGCATACCCGTGCCCGACATAACTTAAATTACATAATGTTACAATCATGAAATGTTTGTTAGGAATGATTTTCACCTCAAGAAAATGAAAAGCCGCTGACGGCCAGTTGTAGGCGAGGCGTGGGTTATACAGTGCTGCAGCCCCGTAAGACGTTCGTAGAGTTGTACGAACTCTGATGGAATGACCCTCGCATAGTGCGTGAAATTGCAGCTATCACACACCTCGAGGTGCTCTTCAGAAGTTCGAAAACGGGAGCTCCAGAATGGCACGCTGCCTCCCCGGCTCACGTTACGAGTTGGGTACCATACATTTAGAGCAAAAGTAGGTTAGCCGGGGTAACCCGTTCGTGAAAAATCACAGAAGACACCAAAGAAAAGGCAATGCTTTACTACACAAAAGAAAACGCACAAAAGAAAATATGTGTGACCAATATTGAGGCAACTATAGCGACTACGTCTATCACTTACGAAACAAAAAAAAATCGATCACGGACAGCCGGTCTGATCCCCCAACATGGCTATACAATGCAGGTTATACAACGAGGTTATACAATGCAGAAAAGAACTACAGGTAAGTAAACGTTCCATCTTACATGGCACGCTTCACTCTACATGCCTCCCCGCACCCGCAGATCTGTCCTCAGATCTGTTTTTAAGAGCCATGTTCTCTATTCCTTTCACATTTGCCTCTGACGGTTCCGGTCCTGTCGGCGCTCAACTCTTTTCAGATGCCTCTTAGAAATCCTTCCATCTCTCAGTGGCGGTCTTCCGCTGCTCGACTGTCCTGGCACCGGTCTTCCAGGTGCCCTCATCGTTCTCGGCATCTTCAACGGCTCCAACTGATGCCTCACTACGCCGGCTCAACGCCTCACTCAAGCAGCTTTCGTTCTCACTCAATTCGCCCTCACTCAACAAAGTTAGGGACTCACCGGGCCTCCTCGGCGTCCTCCCTGAGAATCGCCTGTATTCGCTCGCAGTCAATCTTCTCGATCTTGGCTGCTTGTCTCGCCCAGCCTGAAAATTAAGTTGACTTGAGCTGATTTCCTGCTTCAGTCTTTTCAATGCGTCTACGTCAACGCTAGACGCCTTTTTGTGGGCCTTACCTGGTAGCCCGTCCTTCGTGCCGCCTTTATTGGGCTCGTTCTTCTGCGACCTTATCAGGTCCAGTTCCCTTCGTGCCATCTCCAGTTGCCGCTGCAACAGCACTACTTCTTTCTCCTTCTCTAACAGCTTTATCAATCTCTTTTTAAGCTGCGTGCAATTCTCTAGCACATCATCACGCGCCCAACCTGTGCACTTTTCAATGTCCATTCGTTATGGCTGCCTCTACCGCTAGCTCCTCAACTGCTTCCACTAGTTCTAGCTGCGGTAGTACAACCTAAGGATGTCATCAGTTTCTTAAAACCGACCCTCTCCCGTTCATTTTCTGCACACATCTGCTTTAGGTCTCTAAGTTCCTGCTCTACCTCATTAACAGCCGGATCTCATGACCCTTTCACAGCTGTCTCTTTTCGTGTCTCCTATTCGCCAACACTTCGCTATTTCAGCGCCAACCAATACTTCTACATTTTTTAGGCTCTTCAAAGCATGATCACAAACCTTTAGCTCGTTCAGCTCTTCTCGGTGGTCCACATCCACGTCATCGACGCCATGGGCACGTCATTCGACTCCTCTCGTGGATCCATGTCCACTTCGTCAACAGCCGTGGGCACGTCTGCCATACTGCCGCCCTCTCCCGAGGCACTCTCTGCAATATGCGCGTCCAATCTCGGCCTTCTTTAAGTGACGAAAGACGGAGCCATCGTGAACTTTCACACGTCGTGTGGTGCCAAGTTCCTCGAGGTTGACAGTCCTGCACTGGTGCCAAAAAAATTTGGGCAGCGTTGACCCTTAGGCAATGTGCAGCACTATCAATCCCAGTCGACGGAACCGGGCACCACACTGGTCTCAACAGGATGGACTTTTCGTTGAAAAGCCCTCACCTGCTAGCAGTGCGTTAAATTAGCGACCACTCGAGGCAATGCCAAGGGATCGCTAACGGCAGCAAAATAACTGATGGGACGACCGAAAAAAAGCGCAAGTTCAAGCGTCCCGCCTTTTCTTTCACTTCTGTAGTATCACGAACGTCGGCTTGGCCCCAAGTTGGGTACCCTTACTTTCAAGAGCAGAAAGTAGGTACCGGGTTAACCGTTCGTGAAAATCACAGAAGACACCAAAGAAAAGGCAATGCTTCACTACACAAAAGAAAACGCACAAAAGAAAATATGTGTGACCAATATTGAGGCAGCTATGGCGATTACACCACCACCCGTTTGTCACTTACGAAACAAAAAAAAAAAATCGATCACGAACAGCCGGTCTGATCCTCCAACATCGGCTAGCCAGCAATTGCGGGATCCCTACACATGGTTCGACGGCCTCTTTTTCCAATATACCGCTTGCCTTTCCCGCGTCTCCGCCGCTTATCCTTTTTTAAAGGTTTCGCAATAGCGCCATATTGAGCAGAGCGTGTTCATTGGTTCGCCGCTGTTGACTCTCCCGCTGAAACAGATATACGAGGTTATACACTTGCAGAAAAGAAATACAGGTGGCCTTATATGTAATGTTTCCATCTCACACGGCACGCCACGGCCTTCCAGCTCCACATGATGCCCTCCTTTCCGTTCGGGCCGCGGGTAGCTACACGCGCCTGCTCCAACGCCGCCTCTAGGGCCTCCAGCAATCCAGCAACCTGTTGCTTAGCCATGTTTCGTGCTAAATTATAAAATCATTATAATCGCCTTGTTACAGACTTGCCCACCACGCTCTCAAAAGCGACTCCGCTAAAGGAATGTTCTCATCGATTTTCGTTGGCGATAATGTCTGGAAGGGCGCCAGCAGTGGTTTAGAGGGGTGCGAGGAAAGGCTTATTGTCTTCTCTCTAGCGTTAGAGCTGTGAAGAGCTTGAATACAGATCATGTGGGAAATCTGATTAAGATTCTTTACTATGAGCTTTTACAGATGCGAACCTCCCATTTATAGCCTTCCTCCATCAAGCTCAACTGCGCCTTAGGAAAATTTCAGTGTTAGGGTTGCATTGCAAATACTTGTTGTTGTTGTTCTTCACTAATGAATAGGAATGTTAACTGTGCGTGTTAAATATGTTTTTTTTGAATGACAGTAGCTGCTCTTTTGCTGTGCTCAGTAGAGTAATGAAAGATATTCATTGAAGCCTTTTAGTCTTTCCTTTATTAGCAACTCAGTCGCATCAGGCCGTCCTTCGGACGGGCCGCATGCTCCTCCCCGGGGTAGTGAGTGGCGTCCCTGTGACGCAGTTGCCGATGAGGGGAGGGCCAAGTCGGATCAGCCCGGCTTCAACCGGGCCAGTGGCGAAACAAACGTATTGTTTTGGAGAATTACAGGGGCCACTTTAGCCGGTTTTACGTTCTTGCATATACCCCCCCGCCTAGAAGGCACGCTCATCAAAATTCTATGCGGCACACCGCCTTAGCGGATGAAGGAATGCACAGAATAAACTAACTGCCGATTTACCAACATATATGAGATACTCCCTGCGGTTACGCCGCAGATAGGAGCTACGGGCCGTGTCTCGTAAACAGTTAACTGAGGCATAGCTAGAATACCGGATTGGCTGCTAAGCTCCCCTGAAAAACTGGCTGCATCCCTATAGCAATCCCAGTTAGAATTCCGTCCAATCAGAAGGCAGTTTGTATGTCCTCATTGATTCAGTTTTTGGGGTGTTCTAGACACGTAGCACGAGCACGGCAACAACTCTGTTTAGTATATAGAGAAGATGTTTTGCGCCTAATGTGCATTACATTGTGAACATTGTTGGAGATCAGATTATTCGATTTACTCACGTTCGGGTTATTATCCGGTTTACACTTATTCGTGTTCGTTAGCATTAATTATTTGTATTGTTGCTTTTCTGTTTGTAAACAAGACCGTTAACTTAATGTGTTGCATGTAAAGTACCAAATGTTACAGTTGTTACTGTGCTCAAAGAAGATGAAAAGTTAACTTAACTCAACTCTTGCTTGGTCTTCTTTTAGTAGACACTGCGCCGTAATATGCCATAGATTGTACAGTCATCATCATTACAGACCGGTGGGGCCAGTGAGCCGCGCCGCGTGTGACTCGGCTGTGGCGCGGCAGCGATGACAGTCGCGTCACAGCCGAGTCACACGCGGCGCGGCTCACCCGCCCCACCGGTCTGCAATGATGAGCACCATATACATTGCGATTCGAGAGAGAAACTCTAGTGGCATACATTGAATTGTTAGTGGTCACTGCGACGGGACTTCCTGCTATCAGGGATTTTGGTGGACCCCAATCCTTTCAGAATTACCTCTTGTCCGACTTTTCTCTTACTTCAGAGATCTTTTCAAAAACTCGCATCCAGCCGGTGGGGAAAGGGGGGGGGGAAGGTGCAGTGCGCATGGTAAGAACTGAAAGAGGTCAACACCGAAAACGTTTTTATCAAAGGTAAAACGTATCCCTGGTCAGAGCACCCGCCCCAGGGTCTCAGGTTTTTTGCGGCCGTTTTCGCCAAGTTTTCCTTCACACCTACACTAGCTTAGCTGCTCTTGATTTACTTAGGTTCAGAATGTCATCATTAAGTAAGTAGACGTGTCACAACGAACATCTCCTCATCACGGTCTTCGGTGGGGTATCAAAATGCAAACAAAGGCAGGACTTTTTCTCGCAAAACGCGAAGATCATCTTCTGCCAGAACAATAGAGCACACACAACAGAATTCTTTATCCTCCACGCTCTTGACAATCTTCGCTGCCTGACTCATAGCCCTTTTTCTGCACTTTACGGCTGTAAATGCCGTCCAGCACTTTTTAATTTGAAGGCGTGGCGTGGACACGAAACTAGCATCGTCAAAATGGTATAGGATGTATAGAAAAAGGCCTCGTACATCTGCAGCACTTTGCAATATGTTCAGTATAATGAACTCAGGTCGACATTTCCATCAACATTCCCGTCGGAAAAAAATCTTACCTCACCACAACAGGTAATGCAACTTTTTCACCCAAAACATAATGTTCAAGCGAATATGTCCCCACACAAGTATCCTCAGACGATCCCAGGCACATCATTGGTCGAGGATTTCACTCGAGTCCGTAAGACCCCCTTCCTTTTTTTACGTTGGTACGACCCTGCCCTCCGGCCTTCTATCCCTCCTCAACGAATCGAGAGCGTGGAGAGGTGTATAGCATATGTGAAACAGGAAAAACCGCGAGACGATACGACCCCTTTCCTGTTGGCCGAA